TCTAATTCCCATCCTGTTGCTTTGTTCTTTGCCTGTTCATCCCTTCATCCTCCGCACCTTTGTTATGTCGTTTAGCATCTTTGAGATGACACCACCATTCGCATCATAAACTGGAATGAAAGCACAATTCAATTATTTGCCCATTTTAACACAAACTCCTCATTCCTAAGCAAGAATTGCATCCAGTGCCATTCTGTTCTCCAGAGTCATTTGACTGAGGGTCCCCACTTCACTTTTCGAGAGTACTAACGCCAATTGGGTCTCATTTGCAAATCGGAATAATTCATAACGGATTCTATTAATCCAGTTCATCGAGTCAGTTGGATCCGGAAAGCCTTCCAAAACTGAAATTATGGGCAATTACTTGGCTTTCTTCAGGGATGTCAGAAATGTCATGTCTCCACCATGTCATCATCCTTCTTCTTCTTCAAGGCCCTTGTTACTCTTTTATCCCCACTCTAATTCTTGCTCTGAGCTGAACTAAAACACAGAGACCAGGCCATGAAACAGGCAGACTGGGATAATGTTATGCAGTATGACCACACACCCAGTAGTAGTCAAATAGGACTTAAGCCCCTCCTGCAAGGTGATCACTCTTACCTGTGGAAGGTTATCTAAAAAGGAAGCGAGATTTCTTAAGTTATAATGTTAGATCTAAAATGGGAAGTCAAGTAAAAGTTTATCATAAGGCTAGATAACCAAAAGATCAGTTTGTTAGGGTCAGAAACATGATTAGATCATGATTAGTTCAAGACTGTTTACTATCTTTTTTATTAAAAATTTCACCATTTGACACAAATATTTCAAATATTCCCCCTTGAGAAGACTTGACACATCCCGAAACACAAAGAGCAAAATTAAATGCGGTCAGTTGAAACACTAGCCAGCTGGTTTGATTACTGAAGCCAGGTGATTCTACACCTGAGCTGGCAAGATGACTGGCGCACATGTACCTGTCATGTGCCAGAACTCTGCTCCACGTTTTTCCAGTGTTGAGAAACAGGAAGTAGAATATCCCCTCGGTGACATTCTCCCTCTCTTCAACCTGCGCAACATTTTGAATTCACAATGAGCTCTATTACACACACTGAGTATCACGGTATCACAGTATGAGAATGGTGTGACGAGAATCGCATTATCTCACGTGTTGACTGGGTTCAAATCTGGACTCTGACCAGCCAAAACATGAGCCTGATGGACTTTCTTCTCAAGCCTCTTGGTTGTCTTTGCAGTTTGGGAAGGAGCATTGTCTTGTTGTAAAAATCTGATCATTCCTCTTTTAGACAGCAACTTTTCATTTGTGGCAAGCAAACAATTTTGCAATATTGTACTGTACTCTAAAGCATGATTTTCACATTGAAATAGCTCACCAGTGGCTAAAAAGGCTCCCCACATAATGACACTCTTCTTCCATAATATGCATTAGATTTTCGAAGAGTATCACCGTGCAACTCGTGTTTCATTTTGATTTATCACTCACACACAACTTACCATTTTCAATCAAAAACTTAATTCTGTCTTTGATGATTTTCTGAGACAGAAATGGCTTTTTAAAGAAGTGCATGCTTAAATTTTCCCAATTTTCTGACCAATAATTAGTGGTTAAGACAATTAAAAGCTTAGTGTTTAGCCATTTTGGGCTTGGCTAATTTTTTGCCCAGGAATGTATGTATTAAAAATGCATTGTAAAAATGAATGTGCTTTATTTAATTAAAAAAAAAGAATAATAATAATGTGGGAACAGATTACAAGCAATATTATTAATTCAATTTAATAAATTAGAATTGAGTAATAATTAATCAAAATAATTCCTTAAAAGCTAACCATTTAAAATGAGTAAAACGATTTAAAAAAAATTAAGTCACCATTATGGTGATCAGTGTTTGTTTTAAGTCAAGTCAAGTCAAGTCACATTTATTTATATAGCGCTTTTCACAATACAGATTGTATCAAAGCAGCTTCACAGTGATAACATGAAACTAGTACAACACAGATCAATAATATTGTTAAATATTAAATATCCCCAACTGAGCAAGCCAAAGCAAGGCAGCAGTGGCAAGGAACCAAAACTCCATCAAATTGGATGGAGAAAAAAAAACCTTGGGAGAACCCAGGCTCAGTCGGGGGCCAGTTCTCCTCTGGCTTTTAGGTTTTCTCCTTCAGTGATTCTGCTTGTTAACATCAGGTGTCTTCAATGTTGGCAATATAAAATAAAGAGTTCTTAATTAATCTTTGACGTCTGTCTGTTATTCAGATATTTTTGTTTAATTTTTTGGTGTAAACTTTACTCATTTTAAATAGTTAACTTAAGGAATAATTTGATTCATTATTACTCAATTCTATTTTTTTAAATGTAGTCAACAATATTGCTTGTAATCTGTTGCCACAATTTTATTGATTAGATATAGCATATTCTAGCATATTCGCAGATCTTGGCTTTTTCAGGTATCAGTCAGTGTGCATTATCAAACAACACAACTGCAATCACCAGAAGGGTTTTCTGCAAGAGTCTAACCTGGGTCATGACATTCATAATACACTTCTGCTCTATTTTTGTAAGAAGAGATGCTGAAACATGAACGAGACGTTTACATAAAGTTTTTATTTTGTCATCTTTTGTGTATTTCAGGGCTGCTCAGTTGCCTCTTCCACAGAAATCACATTTCAGCGTAAAAACACTTTTCCTCACAACATTAGTCGGAGTTAATCATCATTCAAGGGATGACAACAGTGAAACTCAAGTTCTAAACCAGTTTAAGAAATAAGCTAATTATTGCTATTGCCATTGGCACCGACAATAAGAGCTTCAAAGAATGAGGTCATGTAACAAGCTGATTCATTTTTATGATTGACTCAAGCACTCACACACTACTTAATAGTGGTGTCTTCAGGCCTATTTACACCAAAACAATAACTATAAAGATATAGTAAAAAAAAAAAATGATGGACAAAATCAAGTTTCACCCTAAATTTTGTCTTGTTCAAGGAGCTGTTTCACTTGGATATAGGATACAATAAGGAAGAATATCACAACTTCTGTTTCATGCAAATTTTAAAGCAGCAGACGACATAACCGAATGACTGCGCCTAAACAATGTTATCGTGCATTGGTGTGGATGATAATATAGATATCATTATAGTTATCGCTCCATCAACGGGCCTTAACAGTTCAAACATGGACACAAAACATGTTAAAGATGTAGCTGTCACCACCTTCTTATTTGGGTAAGATTCATATAAATATGAAAATGTTTTATTCAGTCATGCATTTTAATGTTTTTATTTCTTTCTGACACAGAAAAACAGGTTTTAGGTCTGTTGTATACAAGTCCGTGCTGACCTCCTAGCAAACAAATATAGGTTCTGGGAACGTTAGTTTTTGGTTCCCAGAACGTTCCAAGAACTTTCCCTTAAGGTTGAGGGAACGTTCCCGGAACATTCTCCTTACGTTATAAAAATGGAACCTTAAGATAACCTACATGGAACGTTCCTATAACGTTCTTGTTTGGTTCCCAAAAAATAACCTCATGGGACCATTCGGGAACGTTCTGTGTTTGCACCTCAGCAAACATCTCCTCTGTGCTACCAGTGAAGGATCTCTCTTATGTGACCCCACAGCCTAGTTATCCACAGGTTGACGCCCATTTCGGTGAGATACTGCAGCTCTGGTGTGAGCATCTTCCTGCAGAGCTTTCCGTGTGCTTTGTCGACATTCTTTTTCAGATTGTATCCCATAATCGACTTCTCACCGATGGGTTGCCACGGCTGCATGGAAGTCTCCACGATGCTTCCCGCATCAACGGCATGGCCTCCTTCGATGCAAATGGAAGCCATTTCTGCATTTCTGCGCTGCAGCTCTGCGACATCTCTCGCCATGCGCTCGCGGCCGTAAGCGTCCACTTTACGCCAGAAGGTGGCGTTGAAATACTGGTAAAGCTTCCAATCGATGGCGTTCCACTCCAGCGCCTTGGCCCTGAGCTCTGGAGTCAGTCTCGAAATGGTTGAATCTTTCCGGGCATTGAGTTTGAAGAAAAGCAAGTCCTCCATGTCCCAGCAGAGGCTATCCTTGAGCAGGATAAGCGACTCTTCAAAATACTCAACAAGCATTACCAATTGGAAGCGCTTGGCGATTGCCCGAATGGCCTCATCCACCTTTGGGTCATCTGGATGCAAGTTATTATCCTGGCCGAAGTCAAAGAAAAGCAAGTTTTTGAGATAAAAAGAACTGAATCCTTCTGGGTCATAGTAGAGCGTTGGATCTGTCAGGAATTCTCTCAGTTTATCGTCCCCAGACAGCTTCCACGTGAGAGGTACAATGCGTCTGAAATAGTGGAACGAGGACTCGGCGAGATCTGCCGGGTCCCGGAGGATTGTGATGTACGAGGTGTCGGCTGGAAGCACTTTGGCCACCTCGGCTGCATTGAAACGCATGTGATTACAGATGATGTTAAAACACATTCCAGGCCTGTAGTCCTTCACTTGTGAGTGATGGAAAGGGGAGGGGTAAAAGAAGTCATTGCGGCTGTTGGGGAAGGCAAATTTGAGGTGGTGTTTTTCGCCGAAGCGAAAGAGGATGTTGAGAAAAGTGCTACTAGCTGTTTTGTGGGTTTTCATGAACATGAGGTCCACTTTTGGAGTGCAGATTCTCTGTCCAGAGGCATGATGGGAGTCGTTTGAGATTGTTGAGGAGTGGGCGGCAGAAGGGCGATGAGCACATGAGTAAGGCACTGGGACCCTGTAAACAAAAATGGACAAAAATACTGTCATTTGAATTTATTTTTAGACATATTGTAATATAAATAATTGTAATATAAATATCGTATTGTAATAAATCTTTAGAATAAGTTGGTAAACTATGGTGTCAAATCGATTATTCGTGATTAATTGCATATATATAATACTCATATATTATATATTTACAAACTTTTATGTTAGATGTGTTAAATCGATTTGACACCACTTTTTAAAATAAATAAATAAACCAAAAATATCACATTTAT